ACTCTATACGCAGCAGTCGGCAACCTCATAAGATGACCCAAATCTGTCGAAGCCTGAATACCAGATCCACTGCTCGACAACCAATGCCGATCCTCCTCCAGAAAAGAACGGCTCACTAAATCTGCCATCTCATCACGTCGCCCCACTGTCTCCTCTCCTCTGAAGTGTCTCCAAATGCCATGAGCTCGGCACCAATGCAAGAAAGGACTCTTACTAGTACAAGTACGACTGGTAACCTTTCTGCCCATACACCTCCTCCAACTATTGTTGACTACTAGGGCTTTATACCAACGGGACTTGGTTGCAACCCAAATATGCCTAGTACAATCCCCAACATAGGAAACAAAATAATCATTACCTCCCACTGATGCATACATGGAAGGCCCCCCAATGCCTGACTGAACACCTCCAATAAGACCCCTCAATCGGTGGATAGAAGTGCTGAACTCCACCTCGGTCTTCTCGCTCATACCAATGTGCTTACAGGACTTCAATCTGCAGGTCATAGCACTCCTCAACAATCTGTGCACGGTATAACCAACAATATATCCCAGCACCAAACAATGCCATAGTCTAGCCATAGAAGTAGTCAGCGCCCTATCAACTACCGTGCTCCCAAGCAGATAATACAAGTTACTCCGTCTGACTCCCTTCATCACAATCATGGACCCCGATGTGACCTTCAAGCGAGAATCCGCCAAGGTCACCCTATAGCCTGATGCCTCTAATACCCCAAGTGAAATGATGTTCTTCCTCAGTTGAGGAACGAACCTCACATCAGCCAACTCCCGGATCATCCCGTCACTCATCCGAATCCGAACGGTACCAATACCACCAATAGGGCATCTGTGATCATTACCCATAAGAACAGCATCCCCTCTTTCCAACTCCTGAAAGCTGGAGAACCAATCCCTTCTAGGGCATATGTGGTAAGTAGCACCAGAATCCAACATCCACTCGGTGGAGTCGGTAACATCAACTGACGGAAGAGCTGGGCATGAATAGCCCGAAGAATCTGAATCTGAAATATCGCCACTAGCCTTGGCAACATTTGCCTCTGAAGCTTGAATAGCTTTCCCTTTATTCTTCACAGCTTGCAATTTTGGGCATTCGGCTTTCCAATGTCCATCCTCTCTACAAAAGGCACACTGATTCCTACCAACTACAGGATGCCCCCCTCTAGACTGCGATCTTCTCCCACGGTTTGGACTTTTAGCTCTTGCAACCAATGCCCCCGCAACCGGCTCAATGAAAGTCTCCTTGTCCTTCTTTCGAAGTTGATAGTTCACAAGGGCTGCGGTGACCTCACTATACGAAAGAGATGCCTTCCCATTAATAAGAGTGAGGACGAAGGTCTCATATTCCTCGTCGGGCAAGGAACTCAACAATAGCAACGCCTTGTCCTCATCTTCAACAATGACATCTACATTCGCTAAATCTGCAAGTAGCTTCGTGTAGTGGTTCATGTGATCACTAATGGATGTCCCCTTCTTCAATTGGAAGCGATAAAGCCTCCTCTTCAAATGCAAACGATTTTCGACACTCTTTGTCAAATATTTGCCCTCTAGGACCTCCCAAATCTTCTTTGCCGAAGTTTTATTCATCACATCATATTTTAGATCTTGGGTAAGGCAAGACCTAATCACACCACACGCCGTTCTATTCATTTTATTCGAAACCTTATCATCCATGTTGTCCGGTTTCCCGTCCAACTCCAACGTATCTTCCAAATTTTGCGCATTTAGCGCATCCATGACTTCACATTTCCAAAGTCCAAAATTATTTATGCCGTTGAACTTTTCTACATCTATTTTCATAGAATGTATATTCAAACTTTGGACGGCCCTCACACTAGAAGAACCCTCCCCATGTTTATCCTTTCCGGCCATAATCTCAAAGCACCCAAACAATTGCGGAACAAACAAGAAATAGATCCAACTTGAAAAAGATAGAAACTTTACCACAAAGATCACACCTTTATCACCAATCGAAGCTCTAGATGAACTTCCCAACTGATCTATACCTCCAAAAAGCCCAAGCGTTGCCCGGAGCTCTGATACCACTTGTTGTGCCTCAAGAATCCAAACCAATCGCCGAGAAAAGATAAACCAACACACCAAAATTAATAGTACAAACAATCAAACACCAGTTTTTACGTGGTTCGGCAAGATGCATACGTCCACGGGGCAAGGAGAGGGGAGTTTTCACTATTAGAAACAAGAGGATACAACTAGGGTTACAAATCTCTCAACAAAAACCCACAACAACTCACTCTTGATCTCACCAATTGCTCCAACAATAGAAGCCCAATAAAACTCTCCCTTCAGATCTCAAATTTCAGCCCCCAAACCCTAGAAACACCCCTTTGGGTATTTATAGGAAACCCAAACGAAACGGGTCTGGAAAACAGACCCAGACGACCGCGTCGGTCGACCGCGTCGGTCGACCGCTACCATCTTCTGTCGACCGCGTCGGTCGACCGCCACCAATCCTGATGGCCAGAAACTCCTATGCACGAACGCGGTCGACCGTCACCCTGACAACCTGAATCCTGAGCCTGGAACCTGATCTCTGCCAATTCTACATTTACTAAGTTACTTTTTTTTAGCTTTTCTTTTATAATAAATCTTAAATATCATTCAATTGGTCTACGGCTAATTGATTCTCATATGTAACTTTTATTAACTCTAACATCTTGAGGTTGTATTGATCTTTTGTATAAGTTTCATTTCAGTAGTTATCGATTTTTGTATAATTTATTTTTCATCTTTTCTCATAATTTTGTGAGCTTATATAATTGTGTTAATTTTATCAAAGACTTTAATAATTGATTATTCGTCATTTCTAATATATTCTAATAGATTCCTGCATCTTAGTTATTTTATCAAAAAAGAAAATCATAATATGTATACTAAAATATATGGTCAAATAACTTATGAAATTTAAAATTGTTTTCTCTATTCACCCTAACAAGTATGCGGCAGAGGATGAAGTATCCAAATTTTCTTCATAATACACTATTTACTTTTGAATTACCATTAAATTTATATCAAAATTTGCAATAATTTTGCATACATCTAATTATGTTTCATCAACTATTAAGGTGTTAAAATATTTTTTTTAACTTAGAATAAGTTTATATCATATCGAAGAAGAGCTAGTTGAATGCGCCTCTTTCTATTTCTTTAATAATGTGCTCCAATTAGGTCATGGCTAATAGGCCTATACTCCATTATTTTAAGGCTATGGTTTCTTGATTTATTTACTTATGTTTTTAGGTTTTCTTTTTTAATAAAATTTAAACATCATTTTATTTGTCTATGGCTAACAGATTCTCATATATGATTTTTATTAGCTCTAGTATCTTGAATTGTATTGATCTTTTATTATAATTTTCGTTTCAGTCATGATCAATTTTTATATAACTTATTCATCTTCTCTCATAATTTTATGAACTTATATAATTGCGTTAATTTTATCAAAGACTTTATATAATTAATTTTTTGATATTTTCTAATATTTTCTAATAGATTCATCTATGTTTTTTCCCTCAAAAAAGAATCTTATAATTAGGCTATCAGTTATGAGGCTATTTGGTTTTTAGATTTATTAGATGTAATTTTTCTGTTTGGTTTTCAAATTTATTATATGCAATTTTTTCCCCAAAAAAAAAGTTGCTCCTATTAGACTGTAGGTTATCACATCTTTTGAAAGTTTGTAAACACAGCCAATATATTTCACTTTTGTAAGCACAAACTAATTCATATAATAAATTCTCATACGTATATTTTGTTATCACTCATTTTATCTTGAATTTTAATGATCTTATATTATTAAATTTGTTTTGTTTTAGTTTGACAGACTCACATGTGCAGTTATGTTTCAGAGCATGTACAAGGAAGCAAATGTTCTTTCCTTCTTCCCGATATTGAACGACTTATGATTTATCATTAATTTCTAAGTTCTTCCTAATAGATTTTTCCACACAAAAATATATACGATCATGTATGCATTGGGAGTACTATACATATAAATTATAGTGTATTCAATGGGAAAAACTAGAGTGATTTGATATATTTTCCTGTTTTGATGTTAAAAAAGAGTAAAAAAAGAAAAGGATAATATTGTACAGGACTCGCTGCGGATGACTAATCATAAAGGTCACGTTTCTACATCCTCCGATAAATAATTCTTTTGGCAGTTGTCATTCAATTTCAAATCTGACCTGAAAAAAAAAATCTTACTAAATGTATTTAGTAGTTGATTATCCAACATCAAATTGGGATGCATCTATCACTCTGACGTTGATAGTGATGTGAGTATAATCCTGGATGTTAAAGAGTAACACCAGATTTGATAAGCTGCAATTGAGTCAAGTGATAATGGAATAAAATGAACAACAAAATGAGGTAAACGTAGGAAGCAAACACTCATTTTAATTAAATGAGTATTTTTAATAATTAATCTTGATATATTTAATTGTTATTTTATTTTATTTTTTATTTTCTTTAAGTGGGAATTTCCATTTCCTATCATATAGACATTGGAAATGGTCATTCTCACCTAAAGTGAGAATTAGTGAGAAATGCAAATGTATTGGGAAAGGTTTCTCTCAAGTGAAAATTGGTGAAAATTGGTGAGAAGTGTGAATAGAATTTCTAACTTTAAAAAAACGCACCACAATCACGTTTGGTACAAAAGAATGAGAAGTCGGAATTCACATTCCATCCCCCCTCGTACTCTCATATCAAACCAGGCCTAAATGTAGTGCAGCACTCAATAAGGACACAACAATTGATCAACTCAGGAAACAATTTAGTGCATCAACGTGAAACGACGTCATAAGAGCATATCATCTTTGCTCAGAATTAAATGTTCCAAACCTCGGGCGTTGATGAACAATGAGGAAACCAATGAAACAGAAAAACGAAACAAACATATTCACAAGCTCAAAGAAACACTGCAATACATCAAATGGGTTGATAAAGGAAGCATAACGGTAAATAAATGTACCTCAAATATTTATTTCTCGAGTGGAATATATTAAAAGCAGTTGCTCATATATCATTTATTTACATATGTTGGTCTATACTATCAAATGGTAATGTTGGAATTAATTAAACATGAATCTCTAAAATACAAAATCAAATTGGTAAGGGTACTGATTAAAGACGTAGGATCAAATATTACCCCCACCTTAGGATCGTGTATGGAATCCACAGTCACCTGACAGAAATAGAAGCAAGAAAAAAGTTACCAATTAGTTTTATGACACTATATAGACTATTGATAAATTGCAGGAAAAAGAGCAAAATTCTCCTGTGAATGCCTAAGCACTCTACAATTTCTATAATGATCATACACTTTTGTAAGAGTTATTAACTTTATACTAAATAAGAACAACAAAAAACATATAATTGTATGCTCCTTGGCTATCTCAAATTATCCCACATCATCTCCCATACCAGAACATGCAGATCCCATTATTTCTAGTCACTTAATCGAATTTGATTTTGTATCTCTACCAAACAACAAGAAGCTTGCACATTGTTGATCCTACGAACCCACAATTTCACGCAAATAAAAGAAAATATTATAATATATTTAAAAATAATGTAACAGAGGCATAAGCCATGTTCAGAAATGCCGCCAATTACCTGCACTACGAGTTCTGTAGAGTTCTGTAGTTCAATTCAGTCCAACCTATCCACCAAATGTCCGGGAAATTACTCCAATAGAGAATTTGATGTAGCTCACTAATTACCAGATGTGGGTTTATAACCAGCATTAGATTTTTGCAATGGGTAAATTACACTAAACACCCAAGGACTTTCAACATTTTGCAGTAAAGCCCCAATAGCTTTCAAAATCACACAAAGCCCCCAAGACCCCCCAAAAAAAAAAAAAAGACTTTCAAAATCACACTAGACCCCAGTAATTTTTGCAAAAAAAACCCCCCATACTTAATACTGTTACATTTGAAGTGGTGCATGCAACTTATATGATTTAAAAAGCCAAAATACCCTTAAATTATTAAAAAACACTCCTATGAACTTTTTATATTTTCAGCCCTAAAAAAAAAAATCTCTCGTCTTTTGTCATGGTTGTCTTGTTCGCACCCGCCCAGGTTGGGGTCTGGAATCCTTTTTCCTTTTGCTGAAATTGTCCTTTAAATTCCTTTTTATTATTATTTTTTAATTTATGGGGTTATCTGCAAAATCCTAAACCTTATTAAGGAAGTTTTGCAATCCCAAAAGTTTCAGGAGATTTAGTGTGATTTTGAAAGCTATTGGGGGTTTACTATAAAATACTGAAAGTTCTTGGGGGTTTAGTGTAATTCTAGAAGTTATTAGCGTTTATTGCAAAATGCTGAAAGTTCTTGGGGGTTTAGTGTATTTTACTCTTTTTGAAATAGGTTTCTCTTCATGGAGTATTTTCCCCAAAGTATTCTGTATTCATCTATCCCTTTAGTTCCTATGATCCACAAATAGACTCACAATCCCTGATTTTCTCAGAGGTCTCCTCTTGGATATAAAACTTGCAAAGAACATTCATGTCTCGTACAAGACCCCATAGAACACAAGACTTTGTCCATGTATTAGATTAAAATGGCATTCATATAAGAAGGTTGAACTTTTGTATCAGTGTGGTATTGTAGGATAAAATATCTGCACTCTCATAACTGAAATAAATTTTGTCATAGATGAGTAAAAGGTAATATACCACTTGGCGGACTCCTTGAGCAGCCAAATAGTCGATATTTACAGGAACTTCACCACCTCTAGGAACCAACAGTGTATTAACATAATCACCAGGCTGCACATGATGACAAAAGGTAACAATAAGATGTATATTCTGAATGACATTTAGTTTGCCAGTCCTAACTGCAAAAGATAACATAAATAATGATTAGAAAATTATTTCTTTTGTATTAACGATAGTTTCCAATAAAAATAATCTAAAATTCTAGCATACTTCACACTGTGTGCAGTGAACAAGCACTCCTAGATGTGTGGCAAAGATGGCCAAATTTGATTCCTCTCTGAGAACTTTTACCGCTATATCAATTTGTTCTGGTATTAGGGCTTATGCTTAGCCTTTTCTAGTGCTTAGGAACATTTGAAAGCAAGTTTCCAATGTTCTTCCTTCCTTTTGGGACAGTCATTAGATTTCTAGAAGATCCAGCACAAGCTGAAGACAGTTGCATACAGCAGTAGCTCCAGGACTCTAACCTTTTCCTATACGTTAGTTAGCAGGTCCAAGCGGAATTTTACACCAACCTAAAAGGATAAATATAATGATCTGAAAACAAAAATCTGACTAAAACAAAGAGGATATTGTCTAAATTAGTGGCAAATAATTAATACAAGCTAATGGCCTTGTTTCATGCTGTGTACAAGAAAAGATGAAGATCACCTAATGGAACAGATTACATTGTTATTGCAGATTTGAAAATTCTGAGATATGGATATAAATATTTTATCGTACAAAACCTCTTATAGTCCGCCATTACTTATCTATTAGATGAACAAAATATCAACATGACAATAATATGAACAGATGAGCTTGGATTAGTGCAAGAGGAAAGCTAAAAGTTGGCACCAGCAACTTACTGGGTTAGCAAGAGATTTGTGAGGGTCTCCATGAGTTCGGTTGAGGGCATCTGTAATTGCAGCTACAAAGTCCGAAGCAGACAAAGAAGTGGTTTCTCTATCACGTGAGCCATTCAACAGAAGGACCTGTATTAAACAACGTTGCAATTAAACATACAACACAAATATCAACCACAGAGAACTAATTATCTACATACTGACTTGAATAAACTATCTGCCCAAGGATGAATACTGAAAATTAACAAACTGCAACCGCAAACAAGATAAGTCAGTTCCTTAATCATGTGATCCATTCAACAGAAGAACATTCTTTGAACATTATTCAACTACACCACATGAGATAAGTCCTCAAAGTGGCATTATTAACTATACGCCTTCAGAAATTCGAACAAAGACGAATTGTAACTGATTCCAACTGTGAAGCCTGAAGAAATAAGCAGTAGCAGCTACAATATGTCCACTAGATAGAAATATCGCTAATCAAAGGAGCATTTTGGTTGGAAATATGCAAGGAACATCAATAACACCTGTGAGATAGATATGAAGGCAACTGAAGGAGCAACAAGGATCAGGGACCAAAAGAAAACACATAATGAGAAAGTAAAAAATAGACATTATCCCTAGTCAAGTAGGTGTCACTAACAAATCAAAATAGAGAGAAATGAAAAATGTGTCCACTTCTGCATTTTAGTGTTGTAGAGACTTTAACCCACCCTTTGGAGTTCAACTCTATCAATCTCTTCTCTCTTCTAGAGATCCTGAAAACTAAAGTTAGGAGAAAGGAAAAAACAAATTAAGCAGAAGCTCTAGCAAGGCCTAGTGATAAAGCACTTCTATAGCTACTCCATGGACTGAGCAATAGATGGAGTTTTCTTACGGACAAACCTTTCTAAGTGTCATATAAGTGAAAATGAAAAGGAGAAATCAAGAGGACTCTTGACCATACACCAAGTGGGGGAGCAGAAAGTGATGAGCCCAGCTGATTGTGAATACTCAGCACTAAGTATCTGTTTGCCTTAAACAATAATCGGAAAACCATTGAAAAGTTGAAAGATGGAGCTGACCAAGTCAATTACAAAAGTAAAACATAATTTACGCTCTAGTTACCACATAAAAAGGTGCATAAAAGTATGTTGGTGACAACAGCAGTCAAAAAGGATTGTGCATTTTCCTTATGCAAACAAGCCAAATAATAACTTCTCTGGTTACGACACTTGCGTATCGGTTACAAATATTTATTATTTTCACAAAACCACCAATAAGTTTCCCCCATTTTCACTTAACTCCCAAAAAGTTGGAAATTTTCATTAACAGGTGTAGCAGATTTCAGACCCTAGCTTCTATGAGACAAATCTGACTTCATATTTTCTAAAGACATGCTAGGTTATAGCCTTATAGGTGATTTATTTTCATTCTAAAAAACTGAGGATCAAATCTTGTTGTGAACTTTCTCCCTTCACTGTGAAAAACCTAGAGTGCACTTCAGCAACTATTTTGGTAGGGAACTAAGAAGCTGTTAAACCATGTGACATGAACCAAATCCACCAACATCAAAAGTTTTTTGACTTTAGAGAAGGCCAAGGAGCTCAAGCAAACAGGTGTGCAGTCTAGCCTGCAGAAATCACATCCTGTATTATTTTGATGTTAGAAAAGCAAGCTGGCTAGATAGAATCGAACAATTTGCTATAGACTCCAAATAGATGAAGTGGTTGACGATCGACTAAAATGCTGTAGTAAGCTGGAAAGCTTTTGTTAACATGTTTGCTTATGATGATAAAGCAAAGCAAGAGTGCAAGGCCATGCCATACTGCATTGAATCAAGTGATGCTACAGATATAAAAGTGCTTGAGAAAAATTTTTGTCACGTGCTCTATTGCAGTAATTCTTGAATTTGAAAGGTATTCATGTCTATTATTACATAGAATATTACTGAAAGTTGGTTGACACAGAACAAACACAAGAACATAAGATAATACTTGACATTATACCATAGATTTATCCTTAAATAGATATATGTCAGAGCAAATTTCTGGATGTTTTATATGAAACGCGCAACTAAATATCAATGTTGTGTGTATAACGGATACATGTCATCTATTTTCAGTACCTAACCTCCTTTGGTTCCGTTACTTGCTGATCCATGAAAGTGAAAATTAAATTATTCCTTCTCCATGAGTCTTTCCCGAAAATCATGTAGCTAACCCTACACGTGTTAAGCATAAAGACAAACTCAAAAGGCAAACCACAATGACCATAGAAGCTATCATGTTACATATACCACATAACACACCCTACAATAACTCCTTATAAACGGACCTAACTTGCAATATTACGTAAGTTGTAATTTAGGGAAAACTTGTCCTATTTGGAATAGAGAAAATGAAAAGATTCAGGTCTATACACGCCCTGCAACTAGAGATTGTCCATACAATAATACTCAAAGAAACAACTTCTGAAGTAAATAGCAATGAAACTATTTGAACTATGTCGCATCAAAATCATTTTACCTTGGGAATTGATCTTGAAGCAATTATCTCGCCAACTCCCCGCAAAACCTGGAAGCAACTAGATGTCATGAGAAACAAGTTGTTTTCAGGACCAAAGTTTCTTTGCATACATATAGGCACTAAAGAAAAAGAAACAAGAGCTATACAAGGTAGACCATAGAGACAAGGTTTTAAATATCGGATGTCGGGTTCATGTCGGACGGCTGAAATCCATGTCGGATAGCGGAAATCGGGGATATATCGGGGGATATGGACTAAATATCGGATTGCCATATCGGGTGGGCGCATATGTACAATATCATGTCCTAAATGTAATCTAAGCATTCTTAAATTCAATATAAGCATACTTTATAAACTTTATAGACTAGACATATAAAAAAGTAAACAATATATGATGTTTAGGATCACTAAAAAATTAAGACATTGAATCTTTCATATTAATTAAACAAGATTAGAGCTAAAATGTAAAGAGCTAAAATGTAAAGATATAAAAAAATATTTATGCAAGCATTCCCATCATATTAATTAAACAAGGATTATTACCGGAGTTGAATCTTTCATATTCCGAGGATTACTAAAAAAATCAAGTTAGAGCTAATTTTACTTTTAATCCAAAAGAATTATTTAATTACTTTTTGTCCACAATTTGCTCCAAGATACAAAAAGAAACTTATGATGATAATTTAGGAAAAGAAAGAAGAGTAAAAAGAAAAAAGGGAAAGTTAAAAACCACGATATATCGTTGAACCGATTTTCATAAATTTTGGCCGATTTTTCAAATAGGAAATAGCGGCCGATATATCTGATTTTTCGCCGACATGACCGATATATCGCCCAAAAACGATATGCGACTTGTATTTCCCCGATTTGTGTCGCTCGACACCTTGATCCGCTATATCGGACGACATGTCCGACATGTCGGCCGATATTTAAAACACTGCATAGAGATAAATGCCAAACGTATGGACAAAACCAACGGGTCCGAGATATTAAATTAGAAAAGAGAACAAAATCGATGAGTCTTTTTTTTCTGAAGTGTCAAATCACCCAAACAAAACTTACAATAGAAATATTGAAACTATAAAAATATAATATAGTGCTAGACTAAAGTTGGATCAATGAGCAGTCTATGCTATAAATTATTTCAGAAATAAATAGCTAGATAAGTTTCAGTTGATTTCTGAAATTTTCTGAGGCAATATAAACTAGTATGCCTGAGAGTATGTATGTATTAACTATAGAAGTTTCCAACAATGCTCAACATTGCATAAAGTACATGTTAGGTTAATTGCTTTTTAACAGAATGGCATGCTTAAAGGCTATGTAGCACGGACACGGATCCGACACGGCCATCCGACACGCCGACACGAGGCAAATCCTAAAAAATACATAGGATACGTGTGTTCGACACGTGTGTCCGACACGGACACGACACGACACGGCTTCATGTTATGCGTGTCCGTGCTTCATAGCTTAAAGGACGTCGTTAGCTTATTACAAAAATTCAGGGAACTTGGATGTTCCGGGAACTTGGATGTTCCTTATTTTCTCAGTGTCACCAGAGGACCAAAAAATCTTGACTGAATATAATTAAAGACAAAAACATAATTCAACAGGAGTGCTACGCTGCTATTGCAATATCCATACTCAGTAAAACTATACAAGATTAAGATTAGATGACTGCAATATGTCCATTATAACACCAGCATTGTTTAAAATGCTTGAATAATATTCATTAATATTCAGTAGTAATCTATTAGAGATTATATGCTAGCTGTATTCTGAATAGTCATAGCAAAGCTATTCTTTTAGCACCTTAAAGCAGTTTACTACAGAAACTCAACAACTGAAAGATCATATATGAACAATGAACATGATTAAGGATGCTATAGATCATACTAAAAGAACATGCCTCGTTCATAACAAAGGTGAAATGTTACCAGAGATGGGCATATGGAAGTGAAAAGAGATCCCATGCCATAAACGATACAGTCCACTTTGCTTAACTGCTCCAGAACTGTAGGATTCACAGTAGGGAAAACCTACATAACAGTACACAATACTTAGAATTCAACTCAAACAATTTGAGAATTTGCTTAGATGTTCCAACCAATTGATATCTTACAAAAAAAATTAAAAACTGTAACTGTATTATGAAAACTAAAGTTCTATGCTAACGAAATTCACAGAAAAATTATCTGCAGTTATGTGTAGGCAACTGTCATAGCTTTCACCTAGTAGATTTAATATGTAATCTGTCATTGCTTTTACCTGGATATAAATAAGTGATATAAGTTCCACATTGATGCACTCTAAAGTGCCTGTCAAAGGAAAACTAAATGCTCATATTGCTATACCTTTACCAACACCATTTATAATTGGACAAGATGATCCAGTTGTTCTCACATCTAGCTAATGCCTCATTTTCCTCACTTCTAGTCCTGACTCCTTGTCAATATCATCCATCTCCAAGCTGGATTTGATTAACTTCAGAAAATTGCTCTGGTCAGGTTACAATAATTAGTTAAATCCTCTCTAAAACTTAACTGCAAAATTTTTCTGCTCAAATTATTCATTCGTATCTTTATTCACAAATGCCATGATTCAACTTGAACTAATTCCTTCATCACAAATAGAGCCAAAGACATGGTGAGAATAAATGTACAAAGTTCCAATAAGACTGGCTCACATATGAACTTATGCTAGACAAGCTGGTCTCAGTTTCAGTTGCAAATAAAGTTCTCTGAAGAGAATAAGGACAAAATAGTATCAACCATTTCATGTCTGTAGGTCTTGTTCAAAATCTAACACTCAAAATCAGAAAACCATAGATTGAAAATAGCTCCCAAGAAATCACACAAGAAGAAATAATGAGGTCCAACAAGCAACAAAAACGCCAGCGACAATAGAATGAAGTCTTCTCAACCCAGATTTCTCGGTCAGTTGTGATGTATTTTCTTCATTTAGTGTTGTTAAAACCGGTTAAGTTAGCAATCACCATTTTCATATCATTTTTTTACCTGCTGGAATCCATGTTCATTTGGTCTCCCTGTAAACCTCACTGCTCTTCGACTGTTGCCAGAAAACTTTTAAGTGGAACACTCATAAATCTCAGGTGCATATGTTATCAGATACGGGCGTGGATGCGCGGGTACAGGACACGACAAATCTTCAAATGTCAGTTATGGGGACACGGGTATATATATACATATTGAAATTATTAATCGATTTTGTTTTTTCATTCACATGTTATGAAAATTAAAATTCATATAACATTTTTATCTCATTATAAATTGGAAAAACAATTGATTATGAACTAGATATCTAAATGACCCTTTAAAATCATAATCCTGAACTAGGAATGGATGAAAGAACACAATCCCTGTCAAGCGATTTGCAGGAGTGGACCTGAGGTGTAAGATATATGTCCAAGAAGCGTATGACGAATGTTTTTAAACTAAAATTTGTATCTAATTGAGTACATGTCATAATAAATATATGCATATTCATGTCCAAGGAATCTGAGTCAGACACGCGTCAGACATGGGTTCGGGAGATCAGACGAGGGGTTAAGATAACTTAGTTGCTCAAGTTCTGTACCTTCAAGAGATTATCCCTTATCAGCACTTCGTAGCATACATAAAGCTTCTTTATAAGAGTGAATCTACCTAAAGAAGAAATGAGTAAATAATGATGTTTTAAGAAACTAATCCAGTCAAATCATTATCTTGAATGGACCGCAATAACCAGCTGAAACAACCGATGGAAACTCAACAAAATTATTTTCCACCTATGAATTTCAAGTAAATTAACCAGAGAGATCCAAATGAATCCAACCATAGCCCTCCGCTTCTAGCCCCATGATGACAGAAAAATCTCATGTGTGATCCATACATCTAGCTACATGCCCATTCATCTTAGGCATACAAATGTTCAAAATGTGACTCAGACTACTACTACTGAAAGATGAACAACTGGAAAATGAAGCCATTAGATAGTTGTTGGGATTGATCAACATCATATATTCATCTAATTGGAGAAACCCAGTACATCATAAATTTTGTATCATAGAGAGTGCTTAAAACATTCTTTATAACTGTCAAATGAATTTTAAACCATCCTCAACTGTTTTCATCTGTCAAGCAAAACATCCATAATATTTCTTGTCTAGCTGATTAGAGGCCAAGACAAAAAAGAAGAAGCTGAACCCATGGTAAACAACACATGCTATTCATCGGTAAACTGGACGAACAAACATGTAGACTCTTGGACGTGTACATAAGATGAATATATGAAGGATAAAAAGATGGATAAGTATGGTAGATCAAAACTATAGGATCATTAAAGGATGTGGCACCAGGTGAGGTGAAGCTCTGGCAAATAAAAATGAGAAAAATTTATTCTAGACTAATGAACTACAACATGTAATTATCCATTTATTCAGCCTCAAAACTCAATTCCAGCAAACAATCATCATACATCCTCATAGAAAAAAGAAAAAAAAAAGGAGACAACTAGAAAAGAAAGTTTCAGGTCTTAGAAAAAGAAATGTCGTCTTACGTTGAGATATCTACAATGAATTAAAAGTCATTTTGGCAGAAAAGACAACAAATTAGGATTACATTGAGATGTTAGATGTAATATTAGTTGTAAAGGGTGCTAACATTTCTAGCAGACATAATGTTGTCAAATGTTATGAAGCTATGTATATATTGAAGGTGTTTATATACTACAAAAGTCGTTACTCTCAATCTGTAACGGCTATCCTAACAAGTAATGCAGGACCAATCACTACGAAAATGGTTTCAAATAATAGTATAATTGTGTTGGGTCGAAAATGGTGTCATAGTACCATCTCGTCTCAGCATTAAGAAAAGAACAATTTTTCAAAACAGCCCCATTTCTTTTTTTAATTTTTAAAATCGACCTTTTTTTTATTTACCAAAACCAACATGTTTTTTTGCCACGTCAGCCTAATCACTTTCCTAAACAGTCGGGGTTGCTAACCCCGACTATTTAGGACATAATTTTTTAGGGTTTAAGGCTTCTAATTGGGGGTTAACACCCTCCTAAATAGTCAGGGTTGGCAACCCCGACTGTTTAGGAAAGTGATTAGGCTGACGTGGCAAAAAACGGGTCGGTTTTGGTAAATAAAAAAAAATGGTCGATTTAAAAAATTAAAAAACAAAATGGGGCTGTTTTGAAAAATTGTTCTTAAGAAAATGATATAACAGCCATAATTTCTTTCACAGCTAAGAAATTGACATCTTTGTACCATCTCATCCCAGTATTACCTCATATAAATTAATAATGACAGACAGCAGATACACAGATCTTGGTTCAAGTAAATACGCTAAAGCATATGGAAATTGTTTTACATTTTAGCTGTGGAAACACAAGTTCAGAAAAACCAAAGTAATTCATGCATACTCAGAAAATACGATGCATGTCAGGAAGCTAAATCTAGTTGCCATAAAGTATGCAATAAAACGTAGATTCATGCAAAATCATCACAATAAAGGACCGTCACAAACCTCATGCAGTAAGTTACAGCCCTCACTTGACATATAGAAAACCCGTTTTATTCTGGACGGCAAACTTCTAACTGAAGAACAATCCTGCATAATATAGCAATACACAGAGACAGCGATCAAATCCTGATATTGCAAGTAGAAGAGTAAAAAGAGGAAACTAATATGTAATGCAAAGAAGTTACATAATGAAGAAGGCTATAAAATCAAGCTAACAGTTAAAGGTATTTATTTTTGTAAAATAAAGTCATTTGTTAATAAGAAAGGTAAAAGGCGACAAATACTAGAAATCTAATGTTAATAAGAAAGGTTAAAAACAATATTAGAAATCTGATACGACATCTACTCTTGAACAATCTACATGCAGTACTGTTCTGATGTTAAACCATTTCACTGAAGGGCATAAAACTAATATTTCTCAGTTTCTACTGTACACACACAAAAAACAATTGATATAGTGTAAACAAATCGTCAACAATATTACCAAAAACATGTCATGCCCATGCGGCCCTGCCAATAGTATTTGTATCAGAGAGAACCCACTTGCAAAAATATTCCGTTTCTTACTTTCATGTATCATACACCCAAAAAATAGCACGATAGATAGGACATATAAGGGCATCTTGACCATAATATGTTAATAAAGTTTCGTGTGTAAAAATTCTTATTTTTGTAAATAAAGTCATTTGTTAATAAGAAAGGTAAAAGGTGACAAATACTAGAAGTCTAGAACTCTGGTAGTACGTCTACTCTTGAACAATGTACATGTGGTACTATCCCGATGTTAAACTATTTCAATGAAGGACATCTTGACCAGAACATGTTACATAAACCCAAAAAACAGCACAATAGATACGGAATATAAGGGCATCTTGACCAGAACATGTTAAATAAAATTTTGAGTGAGTAAAAATTCAGCTACACCCCGTTTGGGCCCTGAAGATATATGCTCAAGTCCAGCCAGTTACATTTAAGTTCCTTGGCCCAAACCTGGGTTGAGCATCAGTTGACTCCAATCAGGGTCTTGGTGATTTTCCAGTTATGCTTAAATATGGGTCGCCTGTTTTGTTTGACTTGTCAAATCAATTGATGTGTTTTCTTTGACCAAGATATATCACTTGAGGAACAGTCTGCAGGTGAAATCACTTGTAAAAGATTTTACTGAGCAGATGTGCCTTTGCCGATATTCGGATAATTGGATTTTTGTCAAACAGGGGGTGGATGGAGAAAATGGTATACCAAAAGCTTTATCACTATTAAAAAAAACCCTTCCTTCAAAATAAAAGTGTTTTTCTCAAGGGAACTCTTGATTTAGTGATGAAATAAGACAAGAAAACATATATGAAAGAATAATGCAAGCTCAACTAAAAGATAAGTATGATCCACATATGAGTCATAAAACAATCTGCATCAATGAGGATTTATGGGAGACGTATAAATGGCCTACAACCAACTCGCGTGAAAGTAAAAAAGTATACTGATTAGATTGAGAACTAAGAATTTGTTTCAGGCTTGAGTATCTGAACCAGAACCATAGGAAGAAAGAAATGTGCTAACCAGAAATGTCAAGAATGAATTTATAAAGCATTCTTTACATCAGCATTCTATGTAGCACGGACACGGATCCGACACGGCCATCCGACACACCGACACGAGGCAAATTCTAAAAAATACATAGGATACGTGTGTTCGACACGTGTGTCCGACACGGACACGACACGACACGGCTTCATATTATGCGTGTCCGTGCTTCATAGTCAGCATTAGGAGTGATTCATATAATCGAACTCTAGTTTGATGCTTTGTATACCCTACGAATTCAAAGACAATGAATTTAGAACTTTCTTTTAAAAAACATTTATAGCAAACTTCATAGCTTGAGCTTCAGTTGCTTCCTTATGGCATGCATCTACAATTATTAAGAAATAAATCCATAAAGGCATGGTATCCAATATGTTGAGAAGGTAATCCAATTTTGAAAAACAGAAGTAGATTAGAGAATGACATGTACACGCAAAGTGTCTCCTGATGAAGGGTGACAAGAAGTGGATATGTTAGAACAGTGCCTTCAGAATGATTCTACTGTGGGATGATCAGTAGATAAGGCCTTAGTTAATGAGGTACTAAATTTCAGTCGTTATTTGGACGAAGGCAGACAGAGAACATTATCCATATGTTTAGAAATACTAACGAAGCGTAAAATCAGGTTTCTCCGGCAATGTAAACGCCTGACACAAAATAACAGAAACACATTACTAAATACCCACCAAGAAGATGAGGATTTTTGCCACTTAGTTAAAAAGATATGTAGCATATTCAGATGTTTTGAGTGAACACTTTTCCGCATGAACACTTTTCCACACCCTTCATTTAGATAACAAAATAACATTTTTGACTGTTCCTGATAATTCTATTATCACGAGTTACATCTCAGGAGCAAAATAATAATCCATTTCAAGTACTAACAAAATCAGTAATCCCAAACCTATCAAAAAGAATCAACAATTACATTACATTTATTCAAATTCTCTACAAAGTTTTAACATGATAACTCTTATTGTTAGCAAATTTTCACATGACAAAATTGTCCAACAGAGATGGTTCCATTAAGAGAAATGAAGACCGGAAAAGATCTATGAGTAGGTTGCTTACCTTGCTTATCACTGTCATATGCCCATCAGTAGGATGTGATATTTCATTCTGACCACGTATAACAGTCCCATCCTGGAGTTCCAAAAGGATAATAAAATTAGAAAATCAGCTTTATTTAGACCAAGCGCTACTAGAGATTCTTATGCTTCAAATTCACTTCAAAAATGGTATATTGTCTAGACCACAGGATATTTTCCGAATCAAGGAAGTGAGAAGCTTAGACCTACTCTAAATATTTACTAGCAAATACAATGGCAATCTATAGTAGAATAACTGCTACACTTAAAAATGTCCCTTAAAGATGTACAATAAACTCTGGAGGACAGCTACTCAGACCATTATGCTTTATGCATAAGAAATTTGGGTGACTAGTAAACAACTTGCATACTGAATGAATGCATAACAAGAGAATGTAGAGATTGATTATAACAAGGGGGAAATGAGGAAATCCAGTATAATGTCATTGGTTGTTTCAATTAACTAACAGGCATAAGCTCCCACTTGAATAAAGGCTACAGCCTATAACCAAAATAATAATAATGATGAAAACAAAAGATAAACTATGAAACTTTGCGATAATCATGTCGACCAGGACCAAAGGTGCAAAAAGAATAACTTACTTTAAAGTAGGTAATAAAACCAGAAGTACAAAAGAAACTTGATCGGCTTAGTAAAATGGATTTGTTGTCTATGATTCCAACACAGAAAATTGGCCTTAACAGTGCTGTTGGTTTTGGTTGTTCACAGAGGAAGAGGAGAGGGAAAGGGAAGGAGGGACATGGAACTGACCTCACAAATTACGGCAGGGAGATCCAATAAATACATGATGTGCAGTGAAAGCGCATATGTGCTCGATACTCTCAAACTATAATTGACTTAGTTATGTACTTATATTCAATACCAAAGTGTGTGATATGGTGTATCAAATTGGAGATCTACATGTTACTAATTTCAAATAAAGAATAGACCTCTAACAGCACAGTAAAAGGTGCCAAATGAATGGTTCACCAACACAAAATAAAATCACGTTTTTGAAGTCCTCAAGAACACATGATTTTATATATGCAGATGTTTTAGGCCATGTAGCTTGTTGTCAACAGGACAGGTTGTCCATTTGAACAAAACTCAAAGAAAAAATGCTCTCCTGTTTAATTTCTGAGTATATGAGCCAGAATAACTAAGCAATACAGATTAATCTGATAATAATAATAACAATAGTATCCACCATATACAAATGGACTTTAATAGTCCCACGAGATGGAACATACAGTACAATTATGTGCTATCATCACAGCTACCATAAATATTATAGTTATCAATAATGGATAAGAAGCACCAGGAAGTACCCATAATTCACATCCCAGTGTGAGCCTATCATTAGTAGAGATAACAGGAAGCACAACACTTTCTCTGGGTATTTCTGAGACTCGTGAAAACAGAAATATGGCAGCATCTAAAGACTGGAAGAATATGCGCGCACCAGCAAAAAAGAAATTACCAATACTGCAAACATGAAAAGCTAATGTTAAATCAAATGGTAAAGTCTTAGACAGGAAACTAACTTTTTCTTGTAAGATATCATACATCCAACTAATTTTATATAACTATCACAATACATAAGAAAACAGAATATTCGCAAATTGTCAATTTGACAGAATCAAATAACCTCATAACAGCAATATCAAGGATGTAACCCGTATAATTATTGAATCAGAAACAGGCATCTGAGGGTTGCCTTTAGCAATTTGTAACACATAACTGATGCTATGGATCAAATACAATAGATTTCAGAAGCATGTTACCTAGAGATAAGATGTAACAATAGTCTAACACTGGTTCCTGAGGACATGTTAGGTAGGATCATCCAACATGACAGCTTTGGTGGCTAAGTTAGATTTTTATGACTCAAGTTGGCTTCGAAGGAAGATCTATCTCAACTAGACACCAAGCCAGCTGGGCCAAATAGATATCCTAGAGACCAGTGGCGGAGGAGCCAGGAATTTTGGCAAGGGGGGTTCAAAATAATCAAACATGATAAAATATAAAAAATTTAACACAATTGATTAGTATCTCAACATCATCATATAATAAGACTTTCAAATCATAATTCCAATTATAAACAGTGTTTACAATAGCAAATGAGGCCGGGGATGGTCAGGAAGGTGGGACTGTTCAGCATCGCGGTCTATAGGAGGGGCCTATCATGATTCATGATCACGATCACAAGAATTGCAGTGTTCCGATTGCGTGAATAAAATAGAATTAGAGTTTTATTTTGGCTTAATTGAACTTAAATACCATATAGTTTTCCCCATGTTGCACTTACATACTCTCACCTTTTTTTGCAGCACTTATGTACCCTAAAGTTTTCATAACATGCACTTATATACCCTCAATTCTTTTGGCAACACTTTAATACCATCAAGTTTTAAAAATCTTGCAGTTAAATACCCTAAAGTTTTTAAAATTTGCACTTAAATACCCTAAAGTTTCTAAAACTTGCACCTAAATACCCTCAGTTATGCAAAATTGAGGGTATATAATTACAAGTTTTAAAAACCCTAGGGGGCTTAAGTGCGAGTTTTAAAAAAAATTAGTATAATTAAGTGCAAGTTTTAAACACTTTAGGGTATATAAGTGCTATCATTAACAAGTGAGGGTAAATAAGTGCAGACCCTATGCATGCGTGCGTTCGACATGCAAACGTATTTTTTTTGAATGATTCTCTTTAAAATAGAAATTCTTGATCTTTAAATATCTAAAAGTTTGAGCCAGCCTTTATAATAAAGGGCAGTAGAGAGGCCAAAGAATTAACCATATAAAAAAAGATTAGCAGGATATTTCACAGGTACACAAAAACAAGAACTGTGTACAACAGTTTTTTGCAATTGCCGAAATCTACGAATTTCCACAATGAAATTTTCTGTTGGATTTAACTTAAAAAACTGTTGTACAGTCAAAAACAAATTTGCAATAAATGTGAAGTGTGAACAGAAATCCTGCAACAACATAGTCTGTAGCTTAAATGATACCGTTTCTACATATGCAAGGCGGACATTATAAACCTAGCAGCATCATTATTCCAAATTATCATAAACTAAGTAAAAAAGCAAAAGATTCAAATGATACTGGTGAGAATACATAAAGAACCTAATACTTGGTAAGGAAATCACATAATTACTAACTGTTTCCACAAATTACCTGCCATTGCTATAACAAAATGATCCACTCGAGTGGCGGAGGATCTGCAGAAAATAAAGTGTAGTATAAATTTATAGAACTATGTCAACAAACTAAACGCTCATCATTCCATATGTAAACTAAGTGACCGGTAGCTAAAAACAAAGAATGTATAAAAGAAGTTCATGATAAATCAAAAGAAAATGATGTGGACCGCTTAATTATTTATATGGCATGCCATGTAGAAGATTATTAGCCCTGAAACAAGAATTGGGGTATGAGGACACATTAAAGAAGACATATAAATTAAGATTGTGACATCATTAAAAACTAATTTTAGCATTTAAATTACTGACAATCAACATATTCATTACCTGATTTTGAAAATAAACCAAGAATGCCCGGATTGTTTCACTGTAAGGCTGTGACACACCATTCCACAAAGAATGCTCTCCTTCAACAATTCTATACCTGTCAAGTTCTCAACTCAGCAAAATATTATTCAATACCTCCACCATTGTTATACCTAGAAAATAAATAACAGGAATTCAGAAAGTATTTGATACAATAAAGCAGATCAAGAAGTAATTAAAAATGAAAAACAGAGTCAAGGTTTTTATTATCGGATATCGGGGAAATATCGGATGGCCAAAATTCATATCGGATTGCGGATATCGGGGAAGTATCGGGGATATGTGGTAAATATCGAATGCCATAATGAATGTTTGCATACATAGTATAATGCATTAAAATGTAATCTCAACATATGTAATAAAATTTAAGCATACAAAATATGAATAATATATGTTTAGGATCACTAATCGACCTTCTAAAACAAACAAAAGTGTAAAGCAACGTTGCAACATTCGATCTGCTTTTTTAGGACAAAATGTCATCTATTCCTTTATACAAATAGGAGGATCAGAGAATTCCTGTTCATGCTACAGTAAATTGAACAATAATTCTCTCCCCTCCCATTTGCATAGATATCCGATCAGTTTTCAAAATTCAAAACCCCCTTCTCAGGCTTCTCACCCCGATCCAGAGACAAAAAAAAAAGCAAAAAAAGAAAAAAAAAAAAAACCTCGCTCCATATGAGCTCCCCCCTCTTCCGCATTGATTCCGCTGTCTCCTATCCTCCTCCCCTCCCTCCGCCGCCTTCTCCGGCGGTGGCGCCATCTTCGAGCTCGACATCTTCTCAACCGACACAGATCCAAACCCTAACCCTAACCCTAGCCCAAGCTCAAGCCCTAGCACCTCTATCCACCACCATTCCCCTCTAAACCCTAGCCTAACTCCAGCACGAGCAGATCGCCGCTCTCGCCGTTCCATCGGGAGCGCAACTTTGGCATCCTCGCCGCTTTGCCGGAGGATTCCAAGGCCAGAAGTCCTAACCCTAAGTTCCTCCAGCTGCTCGCTCTCCCCCCTCTCTCGAAATCCCCAGCTGCTCGCTCTCTCGCCTCCCCAATCGAGCCGAGGATGAAGAGATGAAGCGAGGAGGAGCTCGAGGGCTCAGCGCCCGAGCAACGGAGGCGGAGGAAACGACGAGCTCAACCCTCTTCTCTCCTTGCTCATCCTTCCGCATTCGCTGCGACAGACACGTCGCTATGAGTTGGGTTTCGTCGCTATTTTTCCATCTCAGTGTTTGGTGAATTCCCTGAACGACCCATTTTTGGAATTTTGCAGATTTTGATCCAATTTTGTGCAGATTTTGATCCAATTTTGGTGGGAGATGAAACTGTCACTGTCATATTCTGTAAGTGTTTTCCTTCTCTCTTTTGTTAAAAATGAATTTATTGGGAGAATGTTGGAAAATGTTTTAAGCTTAATGATTAAAGTAAAAAAAATCCGTTTTTGGGACTTTAAGAACTGATGTTAGTAATTTTTGATATTCAATTTGTTCATTTTGATGCAATTATAACTCAAAAGAATATGATCAAAGACTATATTATGATTAGGAAAGAGTAAAAAAACTTCAAATCAGTTCAGAGAAAATTTATTAGTTCCAGAAAAATTACTTTATTTACCAGTCTATTTGATTTGTGGGTTTTGTCATTTTAACCTATTTATTTTATTTCCAATTGAACTGTTAAAAAAAATCTGATGGAACTTTAAATTATTACTCCAAACCAAATGATGAGTTTTCTTTCATTTTTAATTTATTAGTTATTAGTTATACCCTCTCTCATTTTTATTTAAAATGTGATGGGTTTAGAACATGTTAGAGGATATATATTGAAGAATTAATTAATATTAGCTACTTATTTTTGTTGTAACTGCTGAAAATAACCATCTTTCCGGATATGATACGGCACAAAGCATTAATTATATCACTCCTATATCATTCATAGATCCAACAATCTATTTATATATTTATGTATCTATATGATGTAATGAATTCTAATTGTACCCACTTTTAAAGATTTCATTTTGTTGATTAGTATCATTTGTTTATTATGTAAATGATTAGAGTCATTTATTTTCTTAGTATTAGAGATGATTGCTGTCATTTTTTAGTAGACCATGCATCATTTTTTATTAAATATGAAGAGTTTCGTGGGCTAACTATTTAATTATTTGGTGAAAGTTGAGGAGGGACATGGGCTTATGTTGAATTGATAGGCAATGGTTTGCATGAGGAGGAAGTGTTATTACTCTATGTTTCCCTTTCTCGAGGTTTGCTTGATTTATGTTTTAATGCAAGTTACTTCATATAACTTAAATTTCAAGCTAATACAAAGGTTTGATCTTGATCTGAGATCTTCATTATTTTACTTTTGATTTGATATGCTAACTGTGAATTATGTTATGTTAAAATTGTGCAAATATATGAAATTGTGAATGTGGTTGAAGTTGAATTTCTAGCTGATTTTATCATGAATTTGTAGCTGATTTTATCATTTGTACCAACTATTATTTGCCTTCACCTAAAAGAGTTATTAATGTGCTGTGGAGTACCTCGAGATGCATGAAACCACTTGGTTGAGTTGTTGGTTAGGTGGTTATAAGTAAAGGTTAGCCTTGAGCTCATACTAATTAGACTCTTAAGTGATTCAGTTTCTGCCACAATGAAGTTTATGAAGCTTGGGTGCTTGGGTCAAAGCCTGATTCTTTTCAGGATGACGACGACGGCGTAAGGTGAGATTTTTTATTAAGAATTTTTAGTTTTTTTCCCTTGGTTCTTTATTAAGAATTTATTGGGAGAATGTTGGGAAATGTTTGAAAGTTAATGATCACAAGTAAAAAGCGATTGAGGGACTTTAAGAACCATATTAATTTCTGATATTTAATTTTTTTCATTTTGATGCAAATGTGACTCAAGAGAATATGATCGAAAACTATATTTTGGTTAGTGAAGGGTTAAAAAAGTGTAAATTAAACTTGGTGCAACTTGAAGAATGTGTAAAAGATTCATTTTGATGGAAACCTTCAATTTCAGATTGTATTTTGATGGAAACCTTCAATTTCAGATTGTATTTTGATGGAAATATTATTACTCCATGAATTATTTAATTTACGTGCCTATATGATTATTGAGTTTTACTATTTTAATTTCTTTGTTTTTTCCAAATTGAATTCTAAAAATCTGATGGAACTGTAGATTTTGAATCCAAAATAAACAATGGGTTATCTTTCCTTTTTGAATTTACTAATTAAATTCTCTCATTTCATTTAAAATTTGATGGGTTAACTTGCTCTTAATGCCTCGAAATGCAACTTTTTTTGGCAAATGACAATCATGACATATTCTTGAATTACTTTACCTTGTGATTATGAAGCGACAATGGATTGAAAGGTGCTCACATTCTTCATCCTTCATGTTTAGGTTGAAGTTGTGTCTTTTGTAGTCTTTTTCTTCAATAATTCAATGTTTGATTTGATTTGATTCAAGGGTTATAGAGATGGTATGTCAGATTAAATATGGAGAGTGATGGTGAGGAGCAGTTGTTGATCCATTTACTCAACTTACGCTGCACTTAGATTGTTATCAAAGGGCCAGAAGGGGAAGGTACACTTGAATCTCTTAAATGGAATTATGTTTCTGCTGACATTGTAATTAACATACAATAAGCCCTACCAACATGAATTTTTTGCCCAGTTTTTGTTGTAGTTTTTGTTAAAATTCTAAGTATTACTTTAGTTTTTTGGTTTTTTTAATATTAATCCTTAAGATCTTTAATTTTTGAAATTAGTCATTCAAAAATTTGTAATTGCTATCAGGTCCCCACTTTCTTAGGAACTAATATTGGAATAAGCGTTTAGTTCTTTATATCTGAAGAAGAAACTTAATACAGCTTAAAAACAGAGGGATCTAACAGCAATTTTAGTGATTTGCAAGACTATATTTCAAAATATTAAAGATTCTAGGGACTAATATAGAAAAAATCTTTAAGTTTTCAGATCTCTTTGATGCTTCTATGTTTCTTCTTATCTTTAAATTTTCCTATTCTTGATTTTACTTCTTTAAGAGAATTTAGTTTGATTTTTGGAGCTGGATGTTAGGAAGATTTGAGCATTCCCAAAAAATTAATAGATTTTAGTTTGACTTTGAGTGTCATTCTTAAAAAAAACTTTCTTTTTTTTGGGTGGAAGAAAAATCTTACCGCTATGTTTGATCAGGTGGCGCTATTGTCGAAAGTTTGTATCTTGGTTGTTTTCTCTGGGCTTTGTGATGATTTTTTAAATCTTACAGGTTGATTTTTTTAAAAAAAATTTTTAGACTCGAAGGTTTTGTTGAGGGGAAATAAACCTAATGTTAAATGTTTCTTCCCAAGTGGTTCTTACAGATTGATGTTAACCAATCACAATTCATTATATTTTATTTACTAATTGGTTGTTACAGTTTGTACATTCAGTTACTAAGTAGCTATGTGAGTTAGTGATTGAGAGATAACTGTTGGAATTGTATCTAAGTTTTCTTCTGAAATCTGTAATAATATTAGTAGTGCTTCTAGCTTTTTAGGAACTATGAAATGCTACTTCTCACGTAAATGTTGCCACTGCAACTCAAAATTTGTGTTATAAATTAGTATAATTGTGAAGACTGTAATGTGAATATAATTTGCCATTCTTTCTCTTATTTACTATAAGAATTGTATAACTATTCTCTGTAATAAATTTCAAAGTATGTCTTTTATAGTAACCAGTCTTTTATTTTCAGATTTGTTGATTGACCTTCACAAATTGCTCACAATTCTCTATCTCAAGATTTCCTCTTTGAAAAGAAGAAAACTGCAGGTATTTTCTCTGATTTCATTTTGTTAGGGTTTTTTTGCATAAAAAGTACTTTTTTAAGTTAGTTTCTAGAGGAATTGATTGAAATATAAATCATGGTGATGAATTTGATCTAAATTCTAATTTTTTGCACCTTAGATTGTTGGTTTTTGGATTATTTAGTTACTTCTTTTAGCATGGTGAAGACGCTAATTTCTATTTATAATGATTAAATGTGATTTAGCTAATCTTAATAGTGCCTAATTCTGATCATATCCCAACCCTCATGTTTAAACTTGATTTAGGTAATCTTTTTTGATTTTTTTAATGAAGATTTTGTTGCTAAGTTTTAATGGGTTTTGTTTGTTTGTGGGTTAGGGATTGGAGATTGATTACGTCAGAGATGATGATGGATGGATCGAATCGGAGGGTCAACTCGGTTCATAACAGTTATGAAACAGTAATTTTATTTCACTTTTCAATTATAAATTTTAAATAAATATTTTCACACATTTATGCACTGAAAAGATTGACCTTTATTGTGCTATTTCGGTTTCAGTTTTGAGTAGTTATTTGATCTTTAGAAATTTGGTTAATGATGCTAAGGATGGTATAACCATGAAGATAAAAGCTAAAGTTTCTAAATTTCTTCAATGATTGGTTGTCACTCAAGTGACTGACTCATGGATATATGTTATATTGAATGTAGAGTTTTGTTGTTGTATTGTTTTACTAGGCCATTATATGTGAGTTGTTAGAGTAGTATTGTTATATTTGCACTATACAATATTATTAGACATCTATTTTCCAAATGCAACTCATTTAAAGTTCTTCATAGTTGCTAGCTGTAAGAATCAGTTTGTATAAAAATAAAATTGAGATCAAACAACATTAAGGAATTGTGACTTAATTACATGTAAATGCAACATAATGCTCTATCCCTTATCTCACGAATTTAATCAATTTACTACTTATAGTTGAACCCTCAAATAATATTTTTGTTATTTTTCGAAGGTGTTTCCCCTTTCAAAATTGGTTATAATTGAACTCTTTTATTCATTCTATTTTACCCTTTTAAAACTAAGAGGAGGGGTGTTTCAAGTGCAATGGTAGAAAAGAGGCGAGGGTCGTGCTTGGCACGGGGTATATACTAGTTTGATATAATGGGGAAATCTTGATATCTTGCCCAAAAATTCCAAACACGGTATATTATTTTGCAACAAGCTATATAAAAAGATATATTGGTCCACGTATCGGCTAATATATCGGCCATATCGGGGATTTATCACTCAAAATAGCCAAAAAGCGGTAAAGGATATTTAAAGACCATATCGGTTGCAGCAAGCCCTATAAAAGGATATATCGGAGGATATATCGGGCCATGTCGGGGATATTTAAAACAATGAACAGAGTGTCACAACAGTGTCATGAATAGATCAAAAGGGAAACAAGTGGAAAAAGGAACAGGTTCATTATAGACTGAAAGAGGCAATCACCATAATATTGGTGCTAAAACAAGTGTCAAAATATTAATATATGCCTGATTACTCAAGACAATGTAGTTATATACTGCTAAAAACGAGGAAGGACTATTAACTTGAGAAACAAAGATAAGGGAAGAAATAAAAATTCCATCCTACCAAAGCTTCTCTTTTCTCCTCAAAGTTCTCTTTTGACAATTTTATTTTCCTCGGTGAACACAAACATATGACATATTTGGAACCAACGGGGACGAATCAAGGAACTTCTTGCACTTCTTACAACTGTCAAGACTTTTCTCAATAGGCTTCTTTTTCCCCCTTTAACATATGCGATATGCCAACTCTCTGCAGTTGAAGTCCCGAACTTTGAGCATCCAGGTGTAACACCTCCAAAAAAAATTCTCATTTAGAGATTTACTACGTTATCCTCTTCAAGTGCTTAATGGTACGGGCTCTGACAGACCTGATACAATCGCATGGTTGACCATTTGAACTAGTACAGATTCATAATCATGCAAAGTACTTCTCTCTTCTTGTCTTCTCCAAGCAAGGAACTGTTAGCTTCAATTCCCCAAACCCATTCATCCCAACCCAACTCCCCGACCCCCAACCCCAAAAAATCTTGCTAGAACACAAGATTATCAATGTAATAGTTTTGTAAGACAATAGTACTGGAAGTGGAGCATCTCAAATGTTATCAATTAACTTTCTCACACAAAATTTATGGTGTATATAAATAGATACAAACATGTGTCGAAATATGCTGGTATTTTAGATTCATATATAGACATAAACATCTTCCAAATTGTTATAGATGTCACATACCATTCTGATTTTGCTTGTGATGCATCAAGAGGCAATCTGTGCCCAAGCAACCTCTTGACAGCAACAGCTTCAGAAGTACTTTCATCAGACAGTCTCAAACATCTTGATCTAATATCGCCAACAGCTGGCCCACCTGTGAGATGCCTACCAAGTTACCATCCAATATGGGACAGCTTCCCACTCAAAAAGAAGGTAGTAGTAAGTTGACATCGAATACAGCACAATATATGAAAACGTTGAACTTACCCAGAACACGGACGATCTCAGCTGTACTTCCTCCATCATCAGAGACTGGAAGAACATGGGCAACTCGAGTTGTTACCTTTTTTAGCTCTTCCACAACACCATTAAATGCAGTCCCTCCTGAGCAGCATTATGAAGCATGATTAGGCTATATAAAGTTATAAACACCAAGAATTGTTTTAAATTGTAGCTCCAAAACTTCAATAATTAAATGTAAGAAAAATGAGTATTATCTAAAAGGTACAAGAGGGAATTCCTCCAAGTAAAGATGCCATCTCTTGCATAAAAGTCTAGCTGAGCTGGAGAACAGTCCTTATCAAATTATTGCCATGTTGCCAATTAGGAATGGTGGAATACAAGCAGAAAAAATGTCAAATTTCCAGACCTAACTCAAAATTCCAATGTAGCTCAGAAAAATTGCAATATATCTCTACCAAGTTTCCAATCTGAAGTTCATGATAATTAATTTTGTATATATTAGTAAATCTACAGAGTGATATGTTGGTTTTCTTTGCAACTATGTCTTGATTTGGTTATTTGCTTACATGGTGCCTGAAAAGGCAAAGACAAAATTCTCCATAACAATTTTTTCCGTAGTAGTATTCTAGAAGAAATTTGGACTGCTTAGCTTTCCCTGACGGAACTAACTAGTACCTACCTATTGCCTTTTAGGTTCTTTGACAGACCCCACTCTGACCTTCAAACAGATGAAACCAGGCTGTAAGCCAGACATATGCCAATCCTTTCACAGTTAGCTTCTAACACAGTTCTTCACACTTCATAATGGACGTCATATGACAGAAAAAGGTTTTAAATGATAACAAAACTATGGATGATGGTGATGATGACAGAGCGGACTTAGTAGAGGACATGTAAAACATATTGCACCTATATAACTTTTGTGGCTCCAGTTTATGTAGTTTTTAATACTCATCATGAGCTTATAATAAGACAGGTATGGAAGTTTGAACCAATGTTTTAAATATCGGCCAATAAACCGATATTATCGGTGATTTATCGGTTTTGGGGCCTTCCGCTATAATAAATTCGAGTCTAAATCGGCTATCGTTTTTGGATGTTTATCGCCGATAATGTAACGATAAAGTGAGTTACCAGCCGATATTGTCAGCCCAAAGTTCGGAATCATCGGCCTTTGGTTTGAGTTTTGATTTCGGGCAACGGGCACCTATTCAATGCATTTTAAATCCGACCCGAGTTTCTATCATTGATTAGTAATCATAAACATAAATATTTACATTTTGGCATGTTTATATTTTATTAAGTATGGTTAGATTACATTTTAGAATATTATATTATGTATATGACCATTCGGTAATGTCATTCTGATAAATACTGCTTATCCCCCATATATCCCCGATATCCGTTATCCGATATGGATTTTGACCGTCCGATAAACCCCCGGTATTTAAAACCTTGGTTTGAACCACAATTGACTCTGAGATGGATCATCAATTTTCTAAGGGAGACGTCACAATTGAGCTACCTTTAGCATTGCAGAAGAATGTGCATTACTTCACAACAACTACAAAATAAGTGCACTGCATCTTCTGCATTTGATGGGAAGGACATACTGGACTAGCATACTCTTCAAATGTTTTAATTAAAACACTTCTTCAGCAAGTGCAAAGACTAGAACTTAGTTAACGCTTTATTAATATCACTATATATTATATGAACACTTTACAAAAGATAAACATCATGGTGGTACCTATAGGAGAAAATGGTACGTTATTCTGATCTACTTCCAAGTCCTTCATATGCAGGAACCTAAGACCCACAGATGCAAAATCTCTAAATGCTAAAATGAGGACTAAAAAATCGCAGCCTCTTTGGCCTTGATAATAAACCAAAAGATCTGTTTCTCAGTTCAGGACCGGCAGCTGTGACTAGTTAACGACTTGCTTTCCCCAGACCACTTTTCCTTCTAGTTCAACTGTTGGCAATTGCGGACATTGAGAATCGACCATCGTCAATTTAGGGACAGCTTACACAAAACATGACAGAAGATATTCAAGTAAGCATTATCGAACGTATCTTTCTACGTTTATCCATGTTATCTCAATCCTTTCCCGTCTTACGCAAAACCGAATTATCTCATGCAATTCCTAGACATCCTTATTACTTTACCCTCCCTCGCTGTTCTGAGTTTTGAATAAGTAATTTGTTCTCAAAAAACTCCCCCCCCCCCCCAACCCATTTAAAGAGCAAAAGAAGATTCAAAATCAAGTTCACAAACTACCATAAATCAACTGCTTTAAGTAAATTTCTGTTCACAGCAATCCAGGACGGTGTAGATAAGCAAAATCGAGAAATTCAAAACAAGAACATCAAAGCTAATTTTTGCATCAGAAGATGACGGAAGTTAAGAAGCACGAACCTGAGAAAACGAGCAACGAGGGCTGGGGATTAGGGTTAGGGTTGTAGATCGAGGAAGAAGGAGACGATGAGACTGAGCAGGGGGAGGCGCTGCTGGAGTTAGGCGCCGCCATGGCGACGAGAGATTTTGATGCGAATCGAGCAGGTGAAGCGAAATGAAAGGGGGAACGAGGGAATGGATTTGGAGCGATTAAGGGGATAAAATGCGCATCCGCCATTGATGGCCGCTATCGCGTTATGAGGATGTGTCCATTTCCCTGTTGCACTCGTTACCTGATTCTTTCTTGAGCTCGAGTCTCAGCCTCAAGCCAGCCTCTTTAGGGCTTGTTTGGATCCAGGGAATAATGGTGAAGGGAAGTTAGGGAACCATTCACCTCTATTCACCTTGTTTAAGAACATTTAGGAGGTGAAGTTATTCACCTTAGTTCCCCTTGGTTCACCCCCTAATAGTATAAAATTTGTTACCCCAAATTAGGATGTAATCAAGGGGAAGGGAACTCCATTCCCTTCCCTTCCATTCTCTCACCTAGTTTCCCTTAGGGCTTGTTTGGATTTGTAGGGGGTGAAGGAAAGTTAAGCGAAACTGAGTGAAGTGAAGGGAAGGGAAGGGAAGGGAAGGGAAGGGAATTCCCTTCCCCTTGGTTGCACCCCAATTTGGGGGTAACAATTTTTATATTATTAGGGGGTGAACCAAGGGGAACTAGGGTGAATTAACTTCACCTCCTAAGTGTTCCCAAACAAGGTGAATGGATGTGAATGGTTCCCCTAACTTCCCTTCACCCTCATTCCCCTCAATCCAAACAAGCCCTTAACTTCCCTTCACCCCCTACAAATCCAAACATGCTCTTAAGTTTTGTCTTGATTGTTATGATTAAGTAAGGGGTTAATTGCAAAAAAAAATTTCCCTAAAGTTTACCCATTTTACAAACAAGGGACCCTGTTTCAAAAGTGAGCAAATAAATGCCCCAAGGTTTCCACTGTTTAAATAGACGGTTGCCGTCGACTATTTCCGTAAAGACTAAACTACTATCCTGCTATTAATTAACCCTGCTTCTGTTTTATTACCCTATCCATGGGGAAAATGCCTTAATTTTCAACTCCCTCTAAATTCACCGCAGCTGGAGAAGTAATTGAGATGAAATTGGGGAAATTAGGGTCCTAGGGTTTCAGATTTGGACAAGGCCAGGCTGAAGAACAAGGATTTAGGCATTGGGGTGTTAGGAATTCCGCTCAAGGTACATTGCAGTAAAGCTCTTTTCAAATTAAGTTTGTTCTTCGTAAAGGTGAGTTGCACATGGGTTTTTGTTGAATTAGGTTTTCTTTTAGGAGATTTTTTAGCAGTAAAGCTCTTTTCAAATTAAGTTTGTTCTTTGCAAAGGTGAGTTGCACATGGCTTTTTGTTGAATTAGGTTTTCTTTTAGGAGATTTTAAAAAAAAGACCCTTTTTAAAAAATAATTAACAAAAATGATCTTTTTGCTAATTATTAGACATCTTTTTGGTCAACTCACCAAAGCTGGCCAAAACAAGATCAGTTTTGCAAAATTCGTTGTTTAAAACACACGGGACTATTAGTCACGTGTGTTTAGGAAGCGCTAATCACCATTTAAATAAGCCCATAAAAACTCACGGGACTACTCGTCTCATGTATTTTACAAACACCTCCAACCATGCACAAAGCATGCACGCATCTGTTCTAACTTATCTCCTGCGCATAAAAAATTCAATTTCACCTCATATACATATCCAAACAGCATAATCTCTATATAACTTATAATTTTTAAGAAAAAGATAAACATAACTTAATACACATTTAATAAATTCAAAACATCACAACAAACACAATAGATAACTTTCCACGACAACACATATTATATCTATATACCAAAATATTGCAACAAATCGAAATATATTGAGTTTATTTATTTGCAAATAATATATATCAATAACTTAAATAGAGTCCATACAGAAAATTCATTAATCTATCACATGCAACTTAGAAGTCTGCCCCTTCCCCTTTGTCTCCCTCTTCGTACTAGCTCAGATCGTCGTCGTCCTCCTTGGACTTGAGCTTGCACGAGCTCGCTCTCCGGTTGCATGTGTGGCTATGCCAATCTAGCTTCATTGTCGTGTGTACAAGATCCTTCTCGTCTTTGTCTATTTGGTAGGTGTGCATATAAGAGATCCACATGTGTCATCTCCTCACGACCATCATGAGAATCCTCACCAGTTCGATTTAAAACTCTATGAACCATTCACACTATTCACTAATACAAAGATGCATGTACTACTAGATCTGGTCCTACGACAGAAAGTGCTAGACCCTCATTTGCAATGCTCTCAATATCATCCATAGCATCTATCTGCAATTAAGTCAAAAGGAGATACACACACGCGCGTCTATATAAGCATATTGTAGTAATACAAAATAAGTAGACTTAATAGTAAATTATTTGCAAGTTCTCTCTCATCTATACCTTTTGGCATGTATCTCTGTTGTAGGGCACGTTGTTGGTGTTCATCGAGTGGAGTCGTGGTCTGATTTGTTATCCATCCTCTTGTAATCCCCTACTACTACCTGATATAATTTAATTCCTCAATAGGAGGATCAGTCTGCTCCATGATACTCAAATGCCGATCAATCCATCTGTGTATGTACTGATAATACGCATCTTCTCAGTTTATCTGATGCCCACCTTTCTTATCCTTTTTTCTAGTCTTTCAACTTCTTGTGGAATGTGTTGTGTCAAATCAAACTGTCTAAGCACGCGATACGGCACACACATCTTTACAATCTTAAAACATATGGGAGGAACCCTTGCTCTCCATATAACTTGGCCATCCATGCAAATTGGTGGTAGGTAAGCTAGGTGATCACTGCATTAGTATCTCTTTAAAAATTGGTGATAGATTAAATTTTCTTAAAGTAAAATTTGATACCTAATAAATCTTTATGTGATCAAGCTCATTTTAGTAAAAGTGTAGATGTCTCATCATAGCATTTGTGGATATTCCATTTGCGTGAATGATCAAAGTTTAGCATCTAACACCATAACTATAATTCTAAATCAAGTCTACATTAGTTAGATTAGAAAGTGTTTACCTACAGCCCAGTAGAATCCGTTCATCTAAAACTTGTGTCTCGCATAATATTGGCTTCAAAATAAGTCTCTCCCACGCCTAAACTTGTAATAAAGTTAGACACCCATTGAGGTCTTTATTTTGTGTAAAGCCACCTTGGACATTTCTCTATATAGGTATGTTAATATAGCACTACCCCATGATAATACCCCGCAAGTGTCCAAGTTCTCGAGAAGTGGTAACCACCTATCATATTAAAAAGATGCATTTAGTTTTATTCAAGTAAACAACTCAATTATATAAATATTCAAATTATAAACTATATTACCTCAAATGCACTTTATCTTTACTAGAATTTGGAAATAGAAGCGTCCTGATCATGTGCAACATATATGCATGTGTGTGTTGCTAGATCAAGACTTGGAATGCATCTTCTGGCAACGGGTGTGACAAAGCATATTTAGCCACTTCAATCTAACATTCCCTCCAGGCAACGAGGGTAGACCTACTCCTAACAACTCCTCACAAACTTAGTGTCATGCATGTCTATATGTCCTTGTAACACATGGACCATCAAAGGGGAGACCAAGAATTATTGATACGCCTTGGAGAGTAATACTCGACTCTCCGATACTTAGATGAAAAGAGTTAGTCTTCGGCCTCCATCTATCCATCAATGCACTAAGTAGTGGCCAATCTAATTTCATTCATCGTAGCCTCGAGGATGTTCAGATGGCAATTTTTACAATTGCGGTATATTGCAAGCATGATTGCACTCTTGGTCATAGAGATAAACAATGTAAGTACCTTCACAATATTTAACATCCCACTCATTATCATTGAATGGAGTAACTCTACATAATCTTATACCCACAATCTTTTTTTGCAATATGCTTTTATTTTTTGGAGTATAACTCGTCGTTCAACTTGCACTATCACTACATCTTTTGTTGAAGTATGCGTTCAACCTATAAGATGTCCTTGCAAGCAAGACTTGAATTGGCATAGTCCGGGCACCCTTAAATACACTATTGAGACTTTTAGAGCAATTAGTTATCACCATACAATAGCGCACCCCACTGTTTTTCTTTATGCCCATCGTTTTTCATACTGTCTCTTCAAGTTTTGCTCAATCCAATTATGTGCTTTAACTTGACTTAATTTTCTCTTTACAATGCTCATACACCGATGTGTTAGCTGCAAACCCAGCTTATCACAATAGATTTTGTAAATTGATCTGTATGTGTTTTTCTTAAAATTATCTCTTATATGCTTCAAGCAATATTGATGATGATGTACTGCTCCACATGCAAGGTCCGTGGAATTCCTTTCATCCTATCAGAAATAAAAGTAATCATTATGAGACTTTGGGTAGTAGAAATGATTTTGTAAATATATTAAAAAAATTACTTCCATATCGATGTGTCCTCTAGCAGAGGTCAATGGAAATAGTATACTATTTCCATCCACACCGGTCGCAACCAAAAACACTCCCTTGTACTTACTATATAAATGCAAGCCATCGATGATCAAGAGTGCATAACAAAATGAGAACTCCTTGATAGCGGGTCCACATGCCAAGATACTCGTGTGAACCTCTCCGCTCCCAATACAATCTCTTTAGACAATATTTTATATTCGGTACCCGAATTTTTCTTCTTAATTGCTTCAAGATATTATAGAAGTAATTCATAAGATTTATCCCAATCTCTAAAGATATTAGTCAATAGTCAACGCCTTCCTTCGTGCATTATATCCCTTATATTTGGATATAGTTATTTTCCTCATAGTATATCCCTTTGTAATTATTTAACATGGAGTAGGATCAAGCTCTCTCTTTACTTCAGGCATAGTTAGCTTCAAGATATAAGAGAAAATTGCCACTTTATGATCAATATTAATAGTTGGATTGCAACATGTATGAAATCTGTAACAACTAGAGATTATAAATTGCCTATTAGATTTTTTTTCTAACAGCAGCATTTAACTTCCAATGACACTTTGAATTTCTTTCATCTTGAGCACTTACATACTTTCCTTGAGCTATCTTATTGAAGTAGCATTTTGCATGGTAGTTGGTTGTATTGTTTTTACTGGCTTGAATTTAACCTGATTCTTGATGGACCATTTACTTATAGTGAAAATCAATGCTTCCTTATTCTCGAATAAATCTCCTTTTTGAAAGTAAAGTTCTCGGGTCATTCGAAATTAGAACCAAAATCAACGAACTT